GGGAAGGTGGGGAGCGATGGGGTGAGGGTTGCGGAGAATGTGGCGGGTTAGATGGGAGTGGGGAGTGGTATCATGTGAGATGGATGTGAATCAACATAATAAGGTTATGAAATATACGCGAAGAAATTTCCTGGGAATGAAACCTATTATTTTGGAACTCCCATACTAGTATAATCTCTTGTATATATAGCGTGATGTCTAGTTGGGACTTGAGGAGATAGTGTAGACAGTATGAATAGTCAATATGGATATATTATTATTATTATTATTATTATTATTAGTAATTTTCAACCGGGCCGTATAGGCGAGCCTCCCGGGGGGCATTACGGTTGGGCTAACTGTGGGGTGATCTTCTAATTTACATGATCCTCTTTTCCTAGGGATAGGGTCTTAATACCCTCAGTAGCCTTTCAAGCAATGGCTAGTGTATTTGTATCTTTGTTTTCGATTTTCTGAATATCTTTGTGCGTGCTTTCCGATCTCTTATATAATATTTATTTGAAAGCTGCTTTATTCTATAAGGGTAGCTTTTGTATATATTCTTTTATAATATAATATGCTGTATATTTCAATTTTCTTCTATATAGCTTTTCTAGATCTATCTCTTTCTACTCTTTGCTTATATTCGCCTGAATCGATCGATCCCTTTCCTTCTTCCCTTTTATTCTTTTGGTAGTGTTTTAGGGTATATATTTCTATAGAAGTCTGTTATAATAATAAATTTAGTGAATTTGATTAATGTATATATTAATTGTTTTAATAATCGTTTTTGAGCTGCTTGATTGCAGGGTGGGTATTTAGGCTTGATATCTAGAGATTAGGTTTCATAGATTGCAAGGATTTTGTGATAATATATAATATGCTCAGGGGATTTGAATATACTGTATAAGTAATGAATCGTTGCTTTTTTATATTTAAATTATTAATGATAGTTTTCGAAATCGCTATATACTAAATGGATTGCTAATATGCAATAGAGAGTCGCTTATGAGAGTTTTAATTCCTTAAAGTATTTGTTTATGCTTTTCAGATCTCATTTCTAGTATTGTTTGGAAAATATTGGTATCTATTTGATCAATTATATTTATACTATTGATCCATAGCGATTTTTTGCTATAAAATAAATATTGCTTGTTATAGATCGGTTTGTATATCCTGAGGCTGATCTTCTTGGTATTTTTATTAGCAAGTATATCTACTCGCTCATTCTCTTCGATCCCTATATGGCCTAGCAATCATTTGATCTGGATTCGGTGTGTTTGTATTAGTTTATGGCATTTAAGAAAAGCCCATTGCAATGTAATAAAGATTATGCCTCTTATTCCCTATATCATTAATGTACTATCGATATATATACAGATTTCCATCCGTTTTATGCTGATAATATTGTTGATCACTGCTTGAAGACCTCAGTATAACCCCAATCGCTTTTGTATCGAATATATAAAAATTATAATACAATTTATGTTTTCTTTGTATACTATTGTTTGTTCTTTATATACAATATATTCATATCCTATTCGCTTATCATTCTTATTGGTTTGTTCCGATTCATCAGAGAATATAATGATCTGATTGTATATACACTTGTTTTACTATTCCTGAAACTATTTTACTACTACCTTTTTTGTAAGATCTCTAATGGAATCCATTCGATACCTTGATATATAGTGAAGTTCTGCTAAAATCGTCTCCTTGATTCGGGGAAGGCACTGGCTGATTACCTAGACCTTTATTCTGGCTAGCTGCAATTGGTCTTCTCTATTGTTAGAGAAATAAATAGCTCTTATCCCTCAGTAATAAAGAGAATATTTTGAATCAATAATTTGAACATAAAAGGCTACTCTCCATTTTATTTGTTTAATACTACTTCTGCTAATAAGAGAACGCTATCCCTCATTATTATTATATTTGGGATTGTTCGCTAAAACTAAAAGAACTTTTTTGATTATTATTCATAGAATCTTATTGATAATTAAAATTGTTCCTTTTAATCAGACGCTTATTGTTACGTAAGCGGACACAATAGGAGTTGTAAGCTTTACCACTACGCCACACACGCAATCTGTCCAAAAGGCACAGTATCAGGATTGTTTCCTGATAGCTTACTACTATATATATATCCATATAACACTTATTACTATTAATATTTCGTCTTGATGCTATCTAGTGGTTTTTGTTTGTTCTGTGTATTATACCTTTGCTCTATAGAATAGAGCTAGATATAAATAAGTGATTATTGCTTTTTATAAGAATACTATTGAGGATCCGTTTGTGATTCGGGCTAGTTCTTGAATATAATAAGCCAATTTCCAGCCTTTGACTGTTTGTATTTCGATATACTGTTTGAATATAAGCTTGCAATCAAATTATACGCCTAGCTATTATAAAGCCAATCCTGATATAATTAAAGAAATAAATGTAATCGCGGTTTATTTCGTATACTAGATTGATAAAATACTTATACTATATTATATGGATTATCTCCATCTTTTCGGATACAAAGATTATTTTGTTCCTAGCTCCCCAACAGAATATGCTTTTCATATCTCTTGCTAACATTATAACGTTTTGTTAAATGCTTACCGATAATCAGTATAAGCAGATGTCGTTTGTATACTCGAATCGGAATTTAAAGTCTTACTGGAATAGCTTTACAAGATAAAGCATATACAGAACTAGCAAAAAGAATAAGCTTTATGGAATACTACATTCTACTATACTGTAATTAGTTATTACTTTATTAAATCTAACCCTAAATTGCCTTTAGATTAAGAAAAAGTCAATCAAAGCAATTAGATTCTATAGAAACCTTTATCCCCTCATTCATTTCAAGAATCTGTTTTTAAATAGAACATCAAACACTCCTTATATATCCAGTATAACTCTTATAATCTTATAACCTTTATTGAGCACTACTTTTACATTGTAAACGAACAACATTATTAAATCCATAGCCAATTATTTCGGAAAAGTATTACAATATTGTGAGCTGAGTATTTCTTGTATTAGGGACTATTTATACTAGATGTCTTGCTATAATCCTTTTAAGGCCTTTCCCAATATAGAAAAGGAAAGCGATAGGCTGCTATGATTATAGAAACATTCAGTCTATCTTCTCTATTTTTAATAATATAACTATCTCTGTTTGTTTTTATATTGTAGGGAAATGATTAAGCTATAGATATTTATTGAAAATGGTATATAGAACTGAGCCTATTTCCATTTAGATAGCTTTCAGTAGTCTTATTGTAATTCGGTTTGTCCTCGGGGATATACTCGAAACTCCTATAATATTATGTTCTATTTCCTTTATAAAGATAGGCTCCCCTTAGGATAGTTTTTCTTTATTTTGATTGTATCCGGAGTCCAAGAGATTGTTGATAGCTTTGAAGTGTTATAAAATCTCCGAATGTAATAGCTTGGTCTTTTCTTTATTTAACATAATAATGTATTGTTTATTATAATCGATGGAAAGCGATATATGGGGCTCAGGTTATACTATCCGATTATTCTATACAGGTTTCGATCTGATTTCATCTTATTAAGGAATTTTCTCTAGTACTCTCTTTTGACTTATCGTATATACAATAAGAATATTCTGTATTCTGTAGAGTAATCGCTATTAATTGTATAGCTCCGGAGGTATATATTTTGAGCGATTGTATAGTCGGGTATTTATTAGGAGGCCGATTTTCCTATTTTCCGATCTAATCTTCTTATTGTTTTGATTATCTGTTGTAATACCTTCTGTATGTTTTTGACGGCTCGATTTAGGGCTATACTTGTGACTACTGTCTGTGTCTCCCGTTTGATTCCCATTATGTTAGCTGATACCATTCTTTGAAACAGAGGTAGGTCTTCCTCCCTGATGCGATACGCGTATTGAGATCTCGGTGCTGAAATATGGATATATGGATTAAAGATAATCAATAAGAACAAAAGATACTTGAAAAGAATACATGGAAGAATAGAATTAGAAACCGATACTAGATACAAACCCCCCTCCCCTTTCTTCTCATTAAGCGTTACGCTTATGACAACTCTGGATGATTGAATTTAGGGGTTAGGAGTTGGTATTTCGGAAGTTTGTTGTTGGTTTTCTGGTTTTCTGGTTTTCTGATTCGCTTGTTTTTTCATGATGTTTTTATATGGTGGAGAGTGGAGAGGGATATGGAGAGAGAGGATATAGATGATCAGTAATAGTGAGTGGCGATAGTTTACTGGAGTATCTAGCAAGTCTCTCATGCTTTACTTGAACATTGGTGAAGACTTAGAGTGTGTGATGAGCATCGAGGGATTTCCGCTTGATATTTAGGAGGGAGGGGGGTCTTAGATTAGTATTGGTTACCTATATAGTAAAATTTACCACTTTCACGCGTGTTAGATTCTATACTAGCTACCTACCTATCTTCCTAGTAAAATCTATAATTGGAGACTAGCATTTATGAAGGAAACTGAAATCTTATGCTAGAGGGAAGGACGAGGGGCGGGGGGAGCAAAAAAAAAAGACAATTGGAAGCTAGAAAGTATCTCGAAAGAGTAGAATCGATGAATGAATTTAAGAGAAATTGTATATCTAAATACCTGGGTAGATATAAGTCATTACGAGAGGAAAAAGTTGAATATTGTAGTAATATAAGAGTGATACTCTGGACTTTTAGTGGTATAGAAGCAATTTATCATCTGTTGTTCGATGATTAAGTATCCAGATTTAAGAGATTGAGATAAAAAATATCAGATCAGCCACTACATATTATAAATCCCGATAAACTCAATACTAAAGCGATTATCTAGGGACATGGAAGTATATATCAAGCGGAATATATCCAGATCAGTACTACAGACCACTACTCCAAGCCCAATATTAAGGTTGATAGATGAATTCCTCTTTTCAAGTGTCCCAAACACCAACAAACCAACAATACACCCCGATAGAAATCTACAACAACATTAACCCTTCTAGAAACTTCAACCTCCCATACTTCAATCAGAAGCCATCATGAAAAGTTTATCGTGCCGTCATCGCGATATGCCCGCAGCTTTCTTATTCGTGTCAGTCGTCTTTTGTTACAGCGATAGCTATCACGATAGAGAGGGGACCTGGGAGTTATTTTTGTAGATGGTAATGGTTTATCGGGTTGTGGTTCTGGTTCTGGCTCTGGCTCTGGCTCTGGCTCATCTTCTTTCCCCTCATATTCCCACTCAGATCCACTAGGTATTTCTTCTAACGGGTCTTCCTTGCGACGCTTATTCTGCATTTCTACCATCATCTCCACATACGCCATTCCTCCTCCCAGGGAATCGACTACACCATAGATTCCGGGCAAGAAACGCCACACTTCTTGATCTATCGGGTCGCCTATATCTCCTATTACACTCAAATCATCCGGCGTCCAATACATCTCCACGTCTTGGAGACAGCTATGCATCAGTCTGTCTATACTCAAATCCCTGAGGTCTGCGTCGCGAGTGCGTTCAAAGATTGGACCTTGCTTCTGGCTAAGGTGTGTCCTGGCGTACCGACGGATAGTTCGCCTCATTCTATATTGTTCAATTAACCCGATCACATGCGTGATTCATGGAAACACTAACCTATTAAAATATGGTCCTCCGGCCAGGAAGGATGTTACCCAGCCTACGAATCGTCAATTAGTTTATGGAGTTTCTCAAACGATGGTAATGGGTGGTGAAAATTTGATCCCTTCGAACTATAATGCTGCGTAGAGGACTCAATCACTACGGAATACATTTCGGGGTTGAAAGCTTTCAGTGTTGTGTTGTACTTTGGGTCATTGATGATAAACTCAAACCCCCCAATAAATTTATTGTTCTAAGCATATTCAATGTGAAGGGTTCAGAAATGAAAATCCAGCCTTGCGGGACTGCATCATGAACAATCCATTACGCGGTTTCGAGTGTAGAATAATGTAAAGGCTCTTGACTTACTATCCATCCAAAGTGGTGACATAACAGCAAGTCCGGCATGGCAGCGGCAAAGCAAGCTGCCACAACATCTTTATATAAGCGACAAGAACAGAGAAATGTTCGCCGTGTGAGTATCTTGTATGCTTGGGGATGCTCTAATACTGTATGGCCGAGTGAAGTGATGAACGATTTTTCGAGATCGGTGAAACCCGGATCCTGAAAGTACACTTTACTTGGTGGAATATCAAATTTTTGCCCTGTAAGACGTTATTTATGTGTGTAAAAAGAGGGATTAAGAGGGGTGGATAAATTGGAAATTCGAAAATATAAAACTTGCTCAAAATATCAATCCAACATTCAAAGCCAACCACTTGGGAAAGATTATACAAACCTTCGCCGCGTTCCTCATTCTGCGCAACGTAACTTTCATCATACTTGTAAGAACTATTTGTGCCACCCTGTATCGATCCAACACCCATGGATAACGCGGAATCCACTACTAGCTTCAAAGGAAATATCGTTTTTTCCACCCATTCTTTTTGAACGGCGTGAAATTTTGATGCTTTCCACCCGCGAGTCATTTCCGCATGTATAGCTAACATGCCTGCAAGCTTTTCAGCTTCAGTCTTTTCACTAGGATGGGACATCTCGGACACTAATTGGAAAGATTAAAAATTTGAATGGTTTTTCAATGCCGAATTATGTTTTCTGTGTGGTCTGGAATATATGTAAGGAGATAGCACGAAAGGAAACGAGCATATACTAAATTCAAGGATCGGATAGAACAGCCAAGATACACATCAACAAAAGAAACACATGAAGTGGAAACATGAAAGGAGTTGACAACAAGTCCCAAATCCGGCCATTATTCATGACAAAGGCACTTTGACCTTTGCACTCCAGCATAGAACGTTTAGACAAAGTATAAGAATGAACAATAGAGCATCAGCCAATTGACTTCCATTATTTGTTAGGAAGAGAAGCGAGCCTCCCGTTCTCTCACCAGAAGGGTAATGCATTTATCAAATTCACACAAATATTCAAACCATTCACAGTTTTAAGGCCTTGTATCAATCAGATATAGAAGACAAAAGGTCACAAGCAAGAAGCATGTTACCTGCAGGTTCAATTATAAGACCACGTCATTGATTCGAGAAACAATACACCTTGCTAGGATGGAAGCTATCGTTGCACACAAAGATACTTCCTGTGTATGTTAACTATGCACAAACAGATGTATTGTTTGTTTCCTGTACATAGCAATAACAATAAGGAAGAATGTAATCATGAGAAAGAATAGGAAATAGAGTAGTACGGAGACTTGCCAATTTGAAGATAGTGAGGAGATGATTGTTTGAGAGGGGAAACATCCACTAAGACGGGTTTTTATGATTGCTTGCAAAAGCCAAACTCCACAGCAAGTTTTATTTTGAAGTAGAAGTTGAATAGCAGCTCTTAAACTGCATCATGCTATCATGCCATTCAAGCTTCTTTGTACATCCTTCTCAAATCTGCAGCCCATTTTGGCAGAATTCAAAAGTCCGTAACCCTACCATTATAACTCCAATCGCCCCTCTCACCTGAACTTCCCCACCTCAAAGGTTCATTCTTTGGACCACCAACCTCTCCAGTCTTCGGATTGATATCCCCTTCAAATTCTGGCCTCGCACCTCTGCGAATATCCGGGTGCAATTCCTCTCCTTTTCCTGTAGCAGATACCCTAGCGTTCACAGCAGCCAATTCTATATCCTCCTTCTCGGCAGCAGTGGTTGCAGGTGATTGATTTATTTGTGGTCTTTTTCGCGTCGATGACTTCAATGTATTGGTAACGACTTCAGTTTTCGGGGTACTAAATGCACCAGTAGAGGAGCGCTGCAGACGTTCAAATTCTTCTTGTTCCTTTGGTGGCAAGCGTGGCGGGGCTGGACCCGTTGCGAATGCTGTTCGAGAAGTAGTTTGTGAGAAGAGGCGACGGGAAGGAAGGAGAAATCTTGATGGTAAAAGTCGAGACATTTTCGATTGATGTTCAATTAGGAAGTTCGAACTGAATGACAAGAGGAATTAAATATCGATTCCAGTGTAACGTATTTGAATCGGCTGTCCACGGACAATTGATTTCTATATCGGCCGGATTATGTTGTGGCAAGGAGAAGGAGATTAATATTGATTGATACCCGAGGAGGTCATGACGAAATTAATTGTTCAACTGGCAAGAGAATGCGAGATTTTGCCAAGGCGGTGACTTAATTGAGCGATAACTAGTGAGGGGCGACGGTTTTGACTCACTTTTTTGGGTGATCAATAAGAATTATATATACAAGAAAGGAATCCTACTTGGAGACTATTTAAAAAATTCATTCATATATCAATCATCATCTACCCCTCCTGCTGTTATACTCTCTTCGTCCCATAACACTTCTTTACAAAACTATAATTCAAAATGGACCATCTAAAGAGGACATTTGCACAATGCAAGAAAGAAGGAAGATCCGCATTGGTAACATACATCACTGCTGGCTTTCCTCAAGCACATGATACTGTTGATATCCTCTTGGGGATGGAGGCTGGTGGTGCCGGTAAGTGATACCTCACTTCCAATTGACTGTGTGGAAGTTGACAATTGTTCGCAGATGTTATCGAATTAGGTATCCCGTTCACAGATCCTACTGCGGATGGACCCACGATTCAAAGAGCAAATACTCAAGCTTTGAAGAATGGTATAACAGTTACTTCGGTCTTACAAATGGTACGGGATGCAAGAAAGAAGGGATTAAGAGCTCCGGTTCTTTTCATGGGTTATTACAACCCTTTTCTGAGTTACGGAGAGGAAAGATTATTAAAGGACTGCCGAGAAGCTGGTGTCAATGGATTCATCGTTTGTGATCTTCCACCAGAAGAAGCTGTGAGCTTCAGAAAGTTTTGCACAAGCGGAGGGTGAGTTTTTGGGAGAGCATTCATACGTCGCATTTGAATTTATGGCTTACAATTTTTGTTCAACAGATTATCCTACGTTCCTCTTATCGCTCCTTCGACGTCCGAATCCCGAATGAAGCTTCTTTGCAAGCTCGCAGACTCTTTCATATATGTTGTTTCAAGAATGGGTGTTACTGGAGCCACAGGAGGTTCAATGGATGCTGGTTTGGAAGGTTTATTAAAAAGAGTCAAAGAATACTCAGGAAACGTTCCAGCTGCTGTAGGATTCGGTGTTAGCACAAGAGAACATTTCTTACAGGTCGCCAAAATTGCCGATGGAGTCGTTATCGGAAGTCAAATTATCAACACCGTCAATCAAGCACCTGCCGGAAATATCGCAAAAAGTGTCGAAGAATACTGTGCGGAAGTTTGCGGGAGAAGGGGCACTCCAAGCGAGGGTGAGGGTCTGACTAGAGAGGTTGGAATGGCCGAGACAATGGGTGTTGCCCAAGAGCCCAGCGGAGAAAATGTTACTGTCGATGCCGTCGTTAGGGATGAGGACAGATCAGGACCCGGTTTAGCTGATCAGATCGAGGCCTTAAATACCAATGGCCCCATAGATCCAAAAATTGCATCTCAAAAGTTCGGAGAATTTGGTGGACAATACGTACCAGAGGCGCTCATGGATTGTTTATCGGAGCTTGAAGCAGGATTCAATGCAATCAAGGACGATCCAGCATTCTGGGAAGAATACCGAACGTATTATCCATGGATGGGACGACCAGGTCAATTACATGAGGCCGAAAGACTTACTGAACACGCTGGTGGAGCAAAGATCTGGTTGAAGAGAGAAGATCTAAACCATACCGGAAGTCACAAGATCAACAATGCTTTGGGACAAATCCTTCTTGCTCGACGATTAGGAAAGACCGAGATTATTGCAGAGACTGGTGCAGGACAACACGGTGTGGCCACAGCGACTGTGTGTGCAAAGTTTGGTATGAAATGTACCATTTACATGGGAGCTGTAAGTTTGAACAGTCTTTTTTTCGCTTCTATTGGGTCTTCTCTTGGCGTCTTCGTTACGGCACTAATAAAATCTACAGGAAGACGTAAGAAGACAAGCTCTCAATGTTTTTCGAATTAAGCTTCTTGGTGCATCTGTTGTCGCCGTCGAAGCTGGTTCGCGTACACTTCGAGATGCTGTCAATGAAGCTATGCGCTCTTGGGTTGTCAAGCTTGACACTACTCATTACATCATTGGCTCAGCAATTGGTCCTCACCCGTTCCCTACTATCGTCAGAACATTTCAATCCGTCATCGGCAACGAAACTCGAGCTCAAATGCTAGAGAAGCGCGGTAAACTCCCTGATGCTGTCGTTGCATGCGTTGGAGGTGGTAGTAATGCGGTTGGCATGTTCTACCCGTTCTCAAAAGACCCAAGTGTTAAACTAGTTGGTGTTGAGGCCGGTGGTGATGGTCTAGATACAGATCGCCACTCCGCTACTCTGACTGGTGGTACAAAGGGTGTTCTACATGGTGTCCGTACATATGTCCTCCAGGACAAACATGGACAAATTTCAGAGACTCATTCCGTATCTGCTGGTTTAGATTATCCTGGTGTTGGACCAGAATTAAGTAATTGGAAAGATACTGAGCGTGCGAGGTTTATCGCGGCCACTGATGCCGAGGCATTCAAAGGATTCAGACTGATCAGTGAGAAAGAGGGTATCATCCCTGCTTTGGAAACTGCGCATGCAGTATGGGGAGGAGTAGAATTGGCAAAAACCATGAGCAAAGATCAAGATATCGTTATTTGCTTAAGTGGTAGGGGTGATAAGGATGTACAGAGTGTTGCAGAGGAATTACCCAAGTTGGGCCCAACAATTGGATGGGATTTGAGATTTTAGATATGAATTATGAGGGACGAGTGGCCGAGTTAAGGTTAATGGGCGTTGCAGGGTCTTGTAAATATTTCGAAAATTATGAGTATGAATAGATCGTTAGAATGAAAAGTTCCTTATTTACAATGAATATATACAGTTAATAAGCGAAGCTGCATAGCACCCAATTTCCAATCATTTACTAGCAACGCTCTCAAGCCTTTGCTTTCCACCTGATGGATACCTCTCGGGACTCCCGCTGGGCAACCTCGTCTTAGTCCTCGAACTTCTTGAAAACAGTCGATATGCCAACCTTCGACAAGCCGTCTGGGATGTTATGATATACACAATCACATTCCAAACACCCTGTAGCGACAACATTAATGATTCAATGTAGTTCAACGGGAAATTAACTGTCGATGGATCCGCCATTTGCCAAATTCTATTGACGCTCGCGGGAACCCAAGTAATAATCATAGCAAGAAAGAAAAGGATGGCCACTCGTGCATACAGCCAAGCCTCGGGATTGGTTCCAGCTTCTGCAACCTCTCTGGTCAAACTTCTCATTCTTCGCATCTGATACGCCTGAGATTCTTGTTGTTTTTGTTGAGGTGTCGCTTGGATTTCTACTTCATATTGATCCGAGTGCAGTACGCTTTCAGAAATGCCTTGATCACCGGCATCTTTGACGATGGATCGTTCTTCGTAGGTTATTTCGATTTCAGTCGTGACAGTATTTGCGAATGGGTTCTCGTTCATGGGGTTGAGGAAGCCGCTTAGATGTTCACGTTTGGACCAGATTACTTTGGCGGCCATAACGTATACGATGAAAGCGAAGAGGATAGTAATCCTACGGTCATCGGATCAGTAAACGTGATCAAATTTGAGAAGAAAGTTTGAAGCTCGGATCGCACTACTCACCAGACAATAACATATAAGAAAACCAACCGTACCCAATCCCAATCTTCGCTAATCCAGCACCAAACAACAGCTGATCCGTAAATACGACCTCGCGATTCTGTCGATACAAATAAGAATACAAAAGCGGGTATGAAAGAAAGCCCATAACATGCAACCAGGTACCAAATATCCAACTTTCTTAATTGATGTGTGGTATATCCTTTGAAGAAAATGAGGTATACGTTGATGGCCATGAAGAATGCCCAGTAACAATCAACTCCACGGAACATCTGCACCAAGAAACCTTGGACCTGACATATTCCGGAGGCATCGAATTTTTCTTTTTCCATCAACGATGCCGGACCAAGCTCAGATATCAGGCACGAGATACTCGAACCAATGTTTCCCCATGATGCGAAAAAAATGAGTCGATTGATTGGTTTGTCGAAGGATGAACAATAAAAGTATGTGATAACTATGAATAGATTACCAAGGATAGAAACGGCTGACGTAACTCTCTCTGTGATATCAAGTGCATTGAATTGCTCGTATGTTAGAGACATGGCGGACTCCTTAGGCAAATGGATATGTCGAAAGGAGAGAAGACTCAGGAGACTACCAGATCTTCTATAACGTGGTTCAACGACGATCTTCAGGAGTCAATTTGAAGGATTCAAAGCAGAAACAACTAAGGAAAGACATAATTGAAGTAAACTTTTATGTTGTGGAGATTATGTAAATAACATATATCCCAAAGTGATTCCTTTTGAAGGAATAAGAGGATCCCTATTTGACCATCCCATCTTGAAGAGTTCGTTAGACAAGGGGATGCATTTCATTTGAACGTTTAGAGTTTCTAAAAAAACTCTAAATCATAACATGCCGGTAAGATCCCGATAAGCACCCGGTACAAATCCCCAATGACAGGCTTTTGAGGCACTGTAAATCTTCGGTACAGTGCCGGCGACATGTTTCACTTCCCCGGACAGAAAAGCAACCACACGCGTCGACAAGGTTGGAATCGATATTTTTCAAGCGATCTTTCATCTTATAGGAAGGTGCCCCGGATTCCTCCCCCCAAAACGACTACGTTTGGAATGAAACTTTTGGGCTTGGTGGGCTGAACAAATGAAGAAGGTTACATAGTTCAATATAATTAGGTATATATGCATGATTATAAGGACTGAAGCATCAAATGATATCATTCTGCTATTGAGAATTGGCAAACATTGCTAAACGGACGAACCGTGTGGATGGTGTAAAGGTGTCGAATATATGGGTCCGTATATGTATGCCCTGTACGTCCAACCTTAAGCGAGAATGCGAACTGGGTAAGCCCTGGCCCTGTAGACGGATTACTCCGTGTCTAGTTGCACCAAAATGCCCCCAGCGACGCAGCGTCTGTTTGTACTTTTCTTTATCCCATGTGGCAGGCTGGCCGCTAATCTATATTAATGTTTCCCGCTTTATATACTTCTAGATTTCATATCACACTCAATCTTTTATACAAGCCTTTTGACATGCGATGTACTCGTGCCGCTAGGAAATATATATGCGACACTTCGCATAGATGCACATACCACAAGATGGTAGAAGGGGACTAACCTGATTTTCGAAGGTGGAGTGTTGCATGATTTCTGCCCGCACGAGCACTATAATAACTCCGACATCTTCTCACTTGAATATTAAAAAGGGATGATCCCGTAATTTTTGGTCATCATAGCTTTCTCGAAGACGTCGTGAATACCTATGCTCAAAAAATTTGAAAGGTTTGTACAGCAAAACCTCTCCATAAGGATCCCCTCTATAAGGATAACCTCTCTATAAGAATATATTTTTCAATCCCAAAAATTTTTAGGTCTAAAAAAGATCTATATCCTTAAAACCCTTCCATTAGAATATCCTTATATTTTTCGATTCCAAAATCATGTGTATATTCTTATTAAATCAATAAAATTATTAGGATTAGTGTTCACAATAAAGGAGCAGGCCAGTGGAATGCATGTAATATTGACTATGTAGATTAATCGTGTTACGGTAAAATCTAACTACGAAGTGGAAGTGATATATGCACAGTAGCTTAGAGCACGTGCCACAACTTCCAACAATTAGTATAAATATATTAGGATTTTAAAAAGATTTAATTGAAACTCAAAAATATCACAGTATTAGCCCGATCGGGATTAATCGGAAGAAAATTACTATTATATCGGGATTAAGCGGAACCTCTGTACAAGAATACCTCTATATATCCTTAAAAAAGACTACAAAAACCGGTATTCTTATGGAGAGGTTTTGCTGTAGCTGCATTAAAGGCTGGAAATGGATCATTTTTCATCAATCAGATTTACGGAATCCACAGAATCGTGATGAGCTTACGCTCTCAAGTATTACTAAAGTGAGAGTAGAATAAACTCTGATATATACATGACGCGCTTATCAATTTATCAAAAAAGTTAATTCCTATTTACAGTTCAATCGCAGCATTTCCAATCACCATAGACTACTATACGGTGACTATACGGTGAAAGAACGACCATTGCGTCGGGTGAATTTGGATGAACTGAGTCAGACTTCAATTCATAGGATAGATTGACTATGGATTCCTAGACCTTGTGGAGATTGCTGCTTATCCCCCCCTTTCTGAATTCCCTGGATCATATCTGCATAGCAGTTGCTCCTGCTAATTTACCCGACCCAGTGGCCATCGCAAGTCATCCGAAATTGAACCCATTTCGAGACTCAGCAAGGATTCTGTGATAACGGCCCAGCAGTTTTTTTTTTTTCAAGTCAAGGCACCATGTATTTCGTGCTCCGTTGCGGTGGTCTACTCAAGTTTCCCCTGATAATCGTTCCCGATAATCGTTGTTCGACGGGTTCTTTGGCAGGAGCATGTTGCACCCGAAACGTTTTCAAGGCGGGAACGAATTACAGCTCTTTATTTGTCTTAGAAGAGATTCATGGTGTTCCAGTAATCTATCACCCCCTCCCTTCCCCATCCCTCCCGGGAAGATATGTTGTGATTCTAATTCAGAAGATCCCAGTACTTGCTCTTGAGAAGCATTTCTCTGGGAAACGCTTTGAAATCTAAAGCCGCCGCTGACGACCACTCAATTTTCAAGTACAGAGACGGAATAATTCTAGTTTAGTACAAGTTTATTTGAATGTTGAAAGATAACCATCGCCTCAAACATATACGATTCCAGGAAGCCCCCGTTCATCATGCAGACAATGATAGCAACATTGTCTTCAGGGTCATTCGATGTATCTCTATCTTGATCAGCAATCTGAATTCCAGTTGCACTTTTCTGTGAGCTGTCGACAGACTTCTCGATGAAGTTCATACAATTGGTTTTCCCCATACACTTCTAATACTTTGGATGTCTTTGATATTGTCTATAATTGAACATCTAGCGTCGAAATGTGAAAGAAGAGAGAAGTTGACCCATCAGGCAAGCAGTAAAAACTTCTATTGGCTAACACATTGTAGTCGCTGCGTTATCGGATAATATGTAAGGCTTCCTAAATTGTAAAACATATCTTTCGTCATTCTCATACACTTAACAGGGTAAAGCATGGTACAAACTTCTTCAGAAGGTTCATTCTACGTACAGACCAGGAATGGGCACCGTCTCTGTAATTACTTTACCACATCTTAGCAACGTCTAATCACCAAAAGAGCAGAGACGTCGCTAATTTTTATCAAAAACACGCCAAGTCCTATGTGTTCCCCTAAACTAAACTAAACGAAGCTCTAAATCAGTTAGACGAATTCGGACGAAGTCGGACGAAGACGCTCCATTGGCTGCCCTATTTATCATCATTGTTCAAGTTGGAGTCTCTGGAAGAATTTCGCTTTGGTCGATCAGTTCTGAAGAGATAGCCACTGAGATTCTATCTTTAGATGCGACTGCTTTGTGATGATTGCCGGTATGATCTCAATCTTGAGAAGCTTGGTAGTCGGAGTGACATTCTTCACAGACTTGTAATCACATAACTTGATAGTCGCCATGGATGGTCTAGGTGACGAGCATATTTCAAGTTTGATTGTCATTTGGGTGCTCTGATTGCACGCAACTAATTGTGATAACATAGCGAACTCGGGCCTCGACACCCCAAGCGCTTCCCCTGGAACTGTTCACAACCGACGAAGTTATCGATCGTTCTCCTGAAGAGATATTCGGGGACTCTGACAAAATAGATAGAAAAGTTCGCGAAGTGTGAAAGTTGTGCCGGGAAGTTTGCCATTGGAATGTTCAAGAAAAAAAGCGAAGAAGATACCCCATTGTGAGTATGAACAATGCTCCTTCTACGTCGAGATACTAATACCTCCTATTATCCTCAGATAATCTAATCATCCACGATCATGACTACTGGGTACTGTATCATAGTGATGTATATGAGCCGTTCGAACTCAATCAGCTAAGATTTGACAGCGCATCTGCAAAAGGAATGAATTAGATTGGTTGTGACTGCAAACATTATGATTTGGGATCCGTCACTAGATACAAGTCGGAAGAGACCCGGACTGAGGCATGTGGTTGAGGTGACATGGTAGATTTTGAACAAAAGGTTTGAACTGTTATTACGATCTCGCGTGAAGGAATCGGTCCATTCGCGTATGACAGAAGCGAGAACTTCTGTAGTAAAGAGTGGTCTTCTTTGCCTTTAGATATGTATTATTTCACATTCCAAATTCGAACAAAGAGTCGTCAAGTTTCTACTTCGATAGAAAATTACGACCTCGTTATCAAACTTTGAGTCAGAAGATGAGGAATCATTGTCACAAACTGTAGCAGAATCGGAGTCAACACATGGAGTCAAACGGGTTTGCGATATGACAGACAGCTAATATGATTCTACTCTTTCCTTCTTTTCTTCCTTTTATTCCTTGATTTCCTTTTCTCAAAAAAAGACTTCGCAAATGAATAGTAACAGGACACATAAGGATAACCTAGAATCATTCAGTGATGTTTTGAATACCTGCCATCATCGACCAGCCTACTTTAACGCATCCAACTTACTCTAAACAAGCAACGGCCTTTCAAATATCGAATCTCCATTCTGCAAGTCTCATTCGATAGTCCACGTCCATAAACTTCTCATCATCAGCATCAAAGAAGTCCGTCCAGATGTCCAATGCCATCAGCCAGTCACTCAATCAGCAGCGACAGATATGGATTAACTCTATCAGAACTGTTTCATTCAGCAAAGAAGATGAAGCCTTATGCCATACAACGGAAGAAAAGACCCATCACAACCTTCTTGACTATTTCCGCTCATGGTTTTGTCACGCCATGCACACAATAAAGGTTCCAGACTACCAGCAGCTTATCGGCCTCGAGTTTCAAACCGGTAGGTATTCACGCAAGGAGCATTCCCCAGGCGAACCACTCCCAAAATATGTCATTCAGCTCCAAGAGACTCTTGATGGTAACAGCCGTGGGAAGTCAATTTTCTTTTCCTTCGAGGGAGTTAGAGAACATAACGATCGAGGTGTATTTATGAATCATCTCAAGAGCCTGAAACACAAAAGTGGGCGCATGGATAAAGGGTTTATGATTCTGGGCGAAAATTTAGAGCGTGAAGCTGTGTATCGCACATACACACCCGGTGGACAGAACTTTCCAGAATCGAGTGGGCAATATAGACGCAGTGAGGTGGGTAGGAAGATTATGGGCGGATTGGATTTCGGTCCTGAGATTCCATATTACGTCGTCGTGTTGGAGATGGTCGATGTAAATGGTGGTAATGAGAGGAATTTGGCCGATTTAGTCTTTATGAGGATGGATAGGGGTGATGGCACGAGAGAGGTGTCGGAAATGATGAAGTCAATGGAGCCACGGCAAAAATGGTAGCGTTTCATTGATTACGGGAAGTCATTGAATAATCTTGTACCGACCTGGAACAGCCAGATAATACATAATACAGCATGAATTTATACTTTCTTGGAGTAGAGAATTTTTGTGAAGGGAAATCTTCTGGCCTTCTATCATTTGATGATCTTTGGTCTTTCAACAGAGCCAAGAAACGTAACCTATCTAGCTCCTACTTCTTGCCTAATGATCTGAACGAGCGGAGACTGGCTTGATATTTGAAACGATCAATGCGGCTTCGTGCTAGAGGATATAGAATGAGTTATTTATGCATTAACTACTGCCACCACAAGCAAGCAAGCAAACAAACAAACAAACAAACCAAGTTTGTCAAATGTATCCCTAACATGTGATTCCACGAAATCAAACGCGTTCACACCGCCCGGCAATACATTCTACCTACTCCTCTATTATGAACAAACAGTATTCTTCCCCTCTTCTTCCCAAGAGACCAAGCTGTCTCAACATTTCACAGCAACCCATAACACTAACCATGGCACCCGAAGCTATTCCCCTCCGAACTTTGACCACCCTCCTCAACTACGAACGTCTAGTCAGCGATCCCCGCTACAAACGCACCAGTCTCCACAGCAGCACCATCTCAGACCAAACCATACTTCCTCATCTGGAAGGAAACGCGCTTATCAAAAAGCGTCCCGCAAGCATTCAAAAAATCAACGTTCACACTTTCCATCACGATGCTTCTACTCCTGATTCTACTCAAGATCTAGCTCTAGAAACTTCCACCACTCAAGCGACATGCACCATCCACCCTTCATGCGATGTAGCAACCCGCTCCCTTTCCTCCACTCAACTCGAAAACATCTTCTACGAATCTCGAAGCCATGACGGCTGCTACAAAGCGCTAATCCTCTTTCAAGAATTTTTCGCCTTCTGTGCCTCAGATCAACGACTATCCATCTAGATCAAAAACGAAGAAGCAGTTCTCGTCAACCCTTTTCCACGCTCCATCATAGAATTCAAAGTGACCGGTCCCAAACTCATGAGTGTCCAATCTTTAAAGTTGAGAAATGGGGGTGCGACATATATCACCGGAGGAGAAAACGAGGGATTTCATTCTATCCTTGGATTTCCTAAACCGGGAACGAGTGTAGGTCAGATAGTAAACTTCGATGAGTTTTTCGTGGTAGATATGACGCGTATGCAATGGGGCAAGCTAGGTATATTCGGCGAACCTTACTTTCTCGGCAAGGGAGGAGATTGGCAGGATGCTATGGATACCATCTGTGATGATATGAAGGAATTGGGAATCGGAGCATCATGGATCGCGGAGAATCAGCATACAGAATTGATGAGAAAATGCGCAAAGAAGGCGTGGGATCGCTGGAACGATCGAGAAAACGCAGGCTGGTGTGATTACTGTGGCGTGGGAGGAAAGTTGAGTGCATGTGCTGAGTGTAAGAAAGGAGACAAGATGATTTGGTATTGTGGGGCTGAACATCAGAGGAAAGGGTGGAAGCTACATAAGTATACTTGTGAGAAGAAGACTATTGCGAATGCGGGGAAGAAGTGAAAAAATATCTTTCAAGGAAAACTATTCCTCTGCTCATACTTTCTGATTGAGATATGATACCGTATAGGAAATAGGGGGTTTTCAGGACCGATATACAACTACTTGAATTTAATGTATCTATTATATAATCATTTAAATTTTTAAATCCGTTTTTAATCAGATTTAAATTAAAACTATAGTTTTCAATATTCTGAAGTGAATTAGTATGGTTAAAGCTAATAAATGATTGAAAATAAGAAGTAGTTGAATAAATTGAAGCTAATATAGGGATTATCCGATATACTTTAGATTTAAGGCTTAAATCTAGATATATTTTTATATAATCCTCTTTGCTTTTATCAATCTAATTGATATTAATAAATACGTTAGCAAATACCCCGGTAAATGTATAAAATTTATATACAAAGAACTTGCTATTATTGTAGAACTTCAAATTCTATCACGATTACATACTAGAGCATATCATAGAGATTAAATAACTAGAATAAGAAAACTAAAGAGAAAAGAGATTCTTGAGGGATCTCTTTATCTCTTATATAATAACAGTCAGAATTCAACATTCAAAACACATACAACAAATTTCGAAGGAAACTTTTTCTTCGAAATACGACCCGTTCGCAATCGATTTAGATCATAGTTATTAAACCAAATTGATTACAATTGCCCCTTAGTAATTCTAATTAATAGTTATTATGCTACTATCATCAGCACTTCGAATACAAAACATATACAAAATTCACATAAAATTTTCTCACTCCAAATTATCAGAATAAGAATAAGATCCTCAATATAAGCTCTCTTAATAATCCATCAATACTTAGGGATATAATTATAATAAAAACTCCTTCTAAAGCCTTTATTATACCAAATACTTATTCTATTATTATCCTAGATATCCCAATACCTTTAAACCCTCCTCCGCCTTCTGAAAATTCTCAATTCGAAATCTCTAGCTCTATTCTATCAACCAACTAGCCAGCCAATTCTAGAAAAAGATTTAAAGAGTTCAATCTACTTAGTAATTCCTTTATTACTCAAGATATAATTAATACTACCTATATATTTAATCAGAATAAGAAACGGAACCTTATAATACCCCTTAGTAATCAGAACAAACAATCTAGAATCCAAAATAATTCAAATACACTCAAGAAAGCTATTTTAAAAGCTAGAGACCTTATAATACTAGCTTCCTTTCTTTTCCAATTATACAAAGAATAATCCAAGCTTTTAGATCTCCTAGAGATCTTTAGAGAATATACTGAAAAGGGAAAGCTTACTGTGTGAACAAGGGAATTCACTTCAAAAGAATGACTTCAATACAATGGCTACTATATCAAAGGTATTTAGGCGAATGCGAAGGAGACTAGCTCTTTCAATAATGTCTATATAAGACCTACTACTTCCCCTCATTAGCTAGCTCTTTAAATAGAATACAATATAGACATTTAGGGGCCTATTAATGATAATGGGAACCATATCTCCTGTATTCCTAATCTCATTATTGAATCAATACTAATTAATGATATCACAAATTACTTAACTTACTTATTCGAAATACCTTCTCACTTTTATTTCTTTTATTTCCTGTTGTCAATACTATAACATCCCAAACAAGTATTAGTATTAGCTTTAAGCAAGCTGACAAGAAACCCGATATTAACAAGAAACCTGTTCTATCTGATTAATTCACCAATATAGGAGAATTTATCGATACAACAACTGACAACACTGATCCTTTACAATAGAAATTCAAGACTTTTTTCTACAAAGATATAACTAATGTTTCTCCTTATCCTCCTGCTTTTTTTAATCCCTATATTCCTAATAAAATAGTAACTAAAGAAAGAAAAACTCAGAAAACTATTAAGGATTTAAAATTCAAAGGAGAATCTCAGAACTATTCCTTTCTAAAAGATCTCAATAAAGCTAGATAGTTCTATAAAGAATATACATTCAGAATAAGAACAAAGTACCAGATCAACAAATACTTTCTTTTTCGAATAACTGCATACTCGAATACAAGGATCACCAATATATTTCTTCAGAATACAGTCATATTCAATTTCGAACTTATTCGATAAGTCCTATTCAGAAGTATTGATAAGTTGATATTATATGATTTTTATAAGGTCTTGCGACATTATAGAGTTTATATCAATATAAATATAAATCTCAATAATACTTTAATAGAAGTATTTCTCCACAAAGAATATTACAATTAAACTACAAATCAGCTTTTGGAATACTAAATTAATAAAATATAATTATTCGTATCTACAAAATAAGCCTACCTTCCTATCGAACTTAATTCGAGATCACAAGCCGAACCTTTTGTCGAACCTCAGAATAGTGCTTCAGCTGGTCACCTAACTTTACCAAAACCCGGTAAAGTTACAAGTGATTCGATTATTCCTTTTGATATACATAAAGGACCAGCTTTATTTCAATCTGGGAATGTACAAATCCCATATATACCTTTATCAGCATTAGAACCAGACTCTAGAATTCCACCAGTTAACACTCCTACAGGATCATCTGATGATAATAATGATCCGGATAATGATGATAATTGGGATAGCGGTTAAGATAGTAATAATAATAGAAACAACAATAATAACAATAGAAACAGTGATAAAGATAATAAGGATAAAGATTATGATATTGATCCCAAAATAACTTTGCCAAATTCCAGCAAAGTTATATCACTTTCTTCAGGAATAGCAATTACGTATACAACAAATCCAAAAAAACCTTTCTTAAATTTATTTAAGAACAACCAAATACCTATACCAACATCTTTCCCGCAAATAGTTATACCTCAAATTCAAGCTCATATACAAGATTACTACCCCGAATGTTTTGCTGCTGATCTCAAGAATTCTATTATGTATAAGAAATCCAGGAAGAAAGAGATTAATAATTAATATCATAGTATTAGGGCTAGTTTGGATATAAAATCCGTGCTGAATCCGCTGAAATAATCTACACTTTGTGCCATCGCGGATTCTGCGGTAGCATCAATCCGTTTCAAAAAGAGCGGATTATTAATCTATAATTTTATAGTTTGAATATCAAATCCGCTAAATAATTCGTGATTTTTCTAGAATATTCAATTTAAACTTCAATTCGATATTAAAACCCTATATTTAAAATTGAGAACCATATAAAAAGCTTTAATAGAATAATGATCTTGAAAAAGTGCTTAGAATTGAAAAAGAAATACATTTTGATTTTATCTTTCTTCTTTCTTTTCTTTTCAAAAAAAGAATCTTTTTTTGAAGTATTTTTGAAATTATTTTTTATATATAAAATTATTTTAATAGCTAATAATATAATTATTACCCAAAACACCTTGAAAGTGTTTAGAAAATCGAAAATTATTGATAACAATAGTAATCGAAGGTTTATATCTATATGAAAAAGAGATAGAAAATCTCAAACTCGAAGTTCCTTTCCTTCAATTCGTTATTCCAAACAAAAGTCTAAATCTACAGCAAAAGTAACCAAATCTCAAAGCCAACTTTGAAATCATGATATCTTCTTTTCTTTTTTTATTAAAGATTCATTATCCAGTTCCTTCTATAATAATGATATTATCTTCAATCAGAAGAAGATATCCTTTATAAAAAAGAAAAGCTATATACAGGTATTTGATTCAAATAAAGTTTATTTTAATTATATTAATTTATAATATATAGCAGGATTTCAAAATCAATAAAAGGTTTTCAATAAATATTGATACAAATAGTAATGAGAATAATAATAATAAAAAGGATATTGATAATAATTATAACATCAATCAAAACCCAAAATATAATATTTATAATAATTCAGAAAATAAAAAGAACCCTTTTATCGATACTATTGAAAGGGAGAATAAATTAGTGGATCCGGAAACTGAGATTGAAAATATTTTGAAGAAATCTATAAATCAATTTAAATAGAAATTTTATAAAAAGCTTTTTTTAAATTTAATATAAAATCATTTATAGAAGATTAATTAATAATCAGGTTAATTCATTAAATAGAAAATACTTTATTATAATCAATTTGTATAAGTTATTGCTTTAGAGCACAAGATATGTATTAATAATAATAAGAATCTAACTGATAATCAAATTAAAAAGAAAATCAATTTAATATAAACATTCTCTTTTTTTTATTATTTATTTGATCTAATTAATTTGATTTAGATCAAAGAATATTATATAAAGTATCAGTATCTTCTTAACCTATCTGATTAGAGTATTAGATTTAATGAAAAGAATAATATTATATAGCCTTATATACCTGATTATTTATGGAAAATGTTTTTATAAGCAAATAAAGCTAATAATCGAAAATGTCATTAGCATCGAAGTTATTATATAGAGAGCTAGTCAATTCTTCAATTTCTATTCGAAACTTATATAGCTAATAGTAAATTTGTATATCACTTTATAGCTTTAATACAATAAACAATCATTTTTTTGAATAAAAAGGATAATCTTGCTGATTCAATATACTCTATATCTTTTTTAAATAAAAGCGTTAAAAGGTGGAATAAATATAGCTCTAGGATACACAAAGTAAGGAATTCATATTTTTGAGATATATTTTATTATTAACTAATTTATAGTTAAAAATAAAATGATATAAATAATCTATTGCAAGCTATATATTATTGAAAAGACCTTGAAAAACTATCTTTTCTAAAGTTGTAGATAGTTTACTTTATATTAATGAATCTTTAAGAGATTTTAATAAATCAAGAAACTATTCTAGTGTCTTATATATTCAAGTCGATAATTCACTATCCCTTTGGTATTAAGTATATTATATAATTACACAAAACTACTTTAGCAAATATAAGTCCCTAAGGGCTGATATTGCTTTTAAGCTTATTGATTTCTTATAATATCTGGTGTTTGGTATTTGTTAATTTTATAGTGAGCTGTTGATGTTTATATATATAGGCCAGACAAAAAGACCATTGTCCTCCGCAAGGAGCCTGGCTGGTTCAGTGGTAGAGTGATCGGGTCACCCTCCTACTGTTCTACGACTTATAGCTATAGCAATCTGATCCACATGGATCCACTCTATATGCCGCCTTATAGGCTATCTTAATATAAACCTTCTAACACAGTTTTACTAAGTTCCAATAATCTATTACTAACCTTAATAGAGCTTTTCTATTATAAACCGCAAAAGCGATCGATCAAATGCTGAAGGGGAACTGATCTCCCCTCCAGCCGCCACCACTACGCTTATACACCACTCCGCTACTCAGCGGAACCATCGTTCCGGCTGCTCCTCTCGAGCGGCCCAATAGCTGAATCCTCCGCTCCCATAGAGCACCATCACACACACACCTGCTTCTTTTAAGCAACATATCTGTACACACACTGCTCCTGCCCATATGGTTTTATGGCAGGAGTAATCGTACAATCAGAGCGCTCCTCTCCACGAGTAGCAGGAAGCGCTAGGAATATAGGGCCGATCAAACGGCCCTATTTGCGAACATTACACTGGCTTGTTTAGGATATATAAGAGGAACTGGGTTTACCCTATAAGGTTTTACTAGCGTACGCATCAGCGCCTTTCTGTATTTGTAATTCTAGATCTAGCCACATCTTTCATACCCCTAGGGAGGTCCCCCACAAGACGTTAATCACTATAAATAAATAAATAAATAAATAAATATATATATAGGCCTATTTCAAATAGAGTTTGTAGATAAGATTTATAAAAAGCTTAAAAAGCAGTATAAAAAGGAAAATAATAAAATGCCTCTATTATCCATTTCTTTATAATAAGCTTTAAATAAAAAATAGCTTTCAAGTTCTAATAGCTTTTGATTTAGCAATTCTATTCACTTTGTTCTCTTTATTATATATTTTTATTAATATAATCTTTGTATTTATTTAATTAGATATTAATATTATATTTTTCAATATCTTTATCTTATTTGATATTAATAATATATAAATACGAATAATATCTATTCATTAGCTCTAAATATGTGAAATAAAGAATATAAGTATATAGTAACTGGCTAGTGAGAAATGGCAAGTAAGAAATGGCTGGTGAGAAATGGCTAGTGAAAAACGGCTAGTGAGAAAACTGTAAAGTTTAGTTTCTCAAGGTATAATATTTACTAATAATAAGGATTGCTAGCTTTATTATTCTTCGAAGAAAAATGCTATCTGTGTTTTTAATAGTTTGTCTTTTTATATAAAATATATAATATTGTAATATTATAAATTAAATTAATAATCTATTCAATTGATAAATAGAAAGAATAAAAAATGTATTCTCAAAATGAATAACTATAAAGGATTCAGTTGTCTCTTGAATTGCTATAAAAGCAATAACATTCCACCTTCAACACTCTCCACCAAATACAAATTGATCTGAAACCTTTTTAACTAAACATTGAAAAAAGACTTTTTTTAAAAACAATTTGGTTGATTTTTAATATTTTTTAATTTCTTATAATATAATTGCTATATTCAATTAATAAAAAAGAAGCTTATAAATCAAGAAAAGATTTATTTACTTCTTGCTTTCTATCGGTAAGCTTTTTTAGCAATTTCTATTTTTTCTTTTTTAGGCTGTTTTCTTGTATTTTGAATCTTTGTTTTCGAAGCTTTCTTTATACTTTTATTTTTAAAAAAAGATAACCTTCTATTTATACCTAGCTTTTATTTATTTATTAATCTTTTTTTAATATTAGTATATAATATAGCTTCCCTATATAATGTATTTGTAGTTTATATTACAACTACAGGATTTCCTGGAATGTAATATTTTCAAAATCTAGATTTGAATTATTTTAGTTTATTATAGAAAAGGTTTCAAATATTTAAGAGATGCATATCTAAAAAGCTTCAAGAATAAAAATGAAAAAAATAAGCATTGAAAAATTAAATATTTAGAAATATGTATTTGTGAATTAATATATCATATGTCGCATAATTCAATCAATTATTTATTTATTTATTTATTTATTTATAGTGATTAACGTCTTGTAGAGGACCTCCCGAGGGGTATGAAAGACGTGGCTAGATCTAGAGTTACAAATACAGAAAGGCGCTGATGCGCACGCTAGTAAAACCTCACAGGGTAAACCCAGTTCCTTTTATATATCCTAAACAAGCCAATGTAATGATCGCAAATAGGGTCGTTTTTGATTGGCCCCATATTCCTAGCGCTTCCTTCTGCTCATAGAGAGAAGCGCTCTGATTGTATAATTACTTCTGTTATAGAACCATGTTTTATGGACAGGAGCGGTGTGTACAGGTGTACCGCTTCAAAGAAATGGATGTATGTGTGATGGTGCTTCAGAGGAGCGGAGGATTCGGCTATTGGGCTGCTCGAGAGGAGCAGCCGGAACGATGGTTCCGCTGAGTAGCGGAATGGTGCATAGGCGCAGTGGTGGCGGCTGGAAGGGGGATCAGTTCCTTTTCAGTATTTGATCGATCGCTTTTGCGGCCTATAATAGAAAAGCTTTATTAGGGTTAGCGATAGATTGTCGGAGTTCAGTGGAGCTGTGTCAGGAGGTCCACACTAAGGTGGCCTATGAGGCGATATATAGGGTGGATCC